TGGTGCCCAGTGAAAAAGAAACCTGGGCAGCTAGCCCCGAGCTGGGATTTTTCCTGTGCACATGGGATCCCTCCCACCAGGGGTAGATGTCTCCCCTGCCACTGGTGCCCAAATGGCAACGAAGGGAGGGAAGGAAATCTCCAACGTGCAACACACAGATGTATCAATAATACACATCAGATCACACATAAAATTACATAAATAATTCTGAAAAAAACTACAAAAACCACAGGCATATGCACAAATCATAATTCAATAAATAATTTTCCAAAAATAATACAACTGATATTTCATCACTTCATCAAGGTTAAGATATTGGTCTGCATTTCACCGCGATCAAGTGATAGCCTAAATCGTTTTCGTGTGCAATACATTACACCTAATATGATCCATCATTGTTAAGATTGGTACTCAATTTTTAGGACTGCACCATTACAACTAATGCAAAAGGTTAGCTATAGCAGAAGCGTAGGAGCTAATGAGTTGTACAATACAAAAAACTCTAAATTCCCAAGGTGTCATGTTTGAGGCGGACACACTACTGAAGAAGATGAGCTGCAAGGTGATGGTCAATAGTTTTGCACAGCTCGTTCCCCACTCCACATCGACATCAGGTACTGCAGCTCGATGTTTTAGGGGCACTTGCTGCCTTCGATAAGTTGACATTGAAGCACGTACTACATTTAAATTGCAATGTAATTAGTCTAAAACATTGACAAGAGTGACTTAATCAGTTCACCCATAAAGTATAAAAATGCACTACACAGAAAAGTCTGAAATGCAATACACCATACTACTGAAATAATGAAATGGATAAGAGCATGTACCATACAGCAAAATGTTTCTTCTGCAGTCAAATTAAATATTGGTCACTACTAGGGTGTATTGAACATGATAGTTTGCAATCAAAAAATTATTTCAGAGAAGTAACCAAGAAAGCACATGGACCAACTAGTGATTGTAAAACATAGCATATTCCATTGGCATGGTCAAGATACTAAAATGGCTAGAATAATTCACACCAAGATCATAGTTTTGCACTTCCAAAGCAGAGGAAGCATCGACAAAAAGCAGCAAAGGCATGAGTACCTCTGAAGAGTACATGACTTCACTATGACCGCTGCAAAATGATGAGAACTCAATTGATACACCTAGGCAATTAATCGTGGCTACATTAGAAATGCAAGGGGATTGTTACATAAAAAAAGGATATTGAACTCAAAGATTAATTAATTTCTTGTTGGTTAGGCAGAGTTTTGCAGGTAGAATTAGGTGGGGACTCAGAAATTTTGATCAATATCTAGGAGGTTACATAATTAGTGGCCTAAAATCTGTTATTCACTGCTATTACTTGATTTTTTTAAATAAACCTCCGGCACAAGAGCTGCAAAATTAGAAAACTATGCATAAACCAATATATGTTTTTTCACCCAAGAAATCTCGCTTTGATCCATCTCTTTCAACTAATGTTGATTAGGACAAGAGAGACTACATGCATTCACGCTTAAAGAGAGACTCTATATGCATCGGGTGGACAAATCAAATAGTACAAAAAATAGTTGTTCTTGGGAAGATATGGAATATGTGCTCACCGCGCTCCAAGATTTGTACTCCGGACCATAATAATTCCTGAGTGCAATCACGTCTTGGATCTGGAGCAACAACTATCATTGCAGGGACATGATGACAAGAAGCTATATGAGTTGGAAGAGGGGAGGAGCAAGACGAACACCGGGTCATCGCCATGGTTGGACATGACATAGATTCCTCTCGCCGTCGAGATCCCGGTGGAAGGAAAAGCACAGCTGCTTTGTCCTAGTATGCATGGGTATAAAAATCCTTGCTCTTATCATAGACAGAATATAATCTCTGGAGAGTCCAATATTCTGGTTACTGATCAAAGGAATTATAAATTTATAACACACAACATGTACCATCTACTGATCTTCCAAGCATTATTCATACTTGCTATAAGAACATGTCAATGTGTTTAATATGCCCATTCACAAAGGGGCAGCGACATGCGTAAAGTCTGATGAGCACGAGACATAGCTATGAAAATGAAAACTGAGCCACAGAATTGGATAAATATATAGAGGTTGAAGAGGGGAAGGAGGTGGTGGCTAACCTTGACCGGAGGAGGTAGAAAACGAACAGAGAATCGTCGTCGTCGCGGTCGCCGGAGGAGGCCGGAGCTTAGAGGCGGAGTAGAGATCCGGGGAAGGAGGAAGGTGACGGCCGCGGTCCATCACCATTGCTGGAGGGACGGAGCTTGGATCCTGAGCAACAAACGGAGGGGGTCGAGGGTGTCGCTTATGTCGCCGGTGGAGGAGCTCGGACGCGGAGGAGGCAGCCAGGCAGGGCACTGGATCTTGGTCGACGGCGCCGTCGTTATCTCGAGCCGTGGTTTTCCTCCCCGATGTCTAGGGTCGGAAAAAAATTATATGAGACCATGTCTCATGGTTAGCAGGTGAGACCCGCACTGATGGATGACACGTGTCATTCACAAATCACAAAGCATATAACCTCTCCCCCTCTGATTTCAAGTGGGGGTCGGGTAGATGCTTTGTGATTTGTGAATGCCACATGTCATCTGTAAGTGCATCTAGTGCCACCCCTAGTTGGTTTTAGAGCATTGACGACAAACCTAGTTGAGGGAGTAATGTGTTTGTGAGAATTGCAGGAAAACACAAGTAGAAGTCCCTCATTGATTCGGTTTTACTACCAGAGATGACCCCTAAAAATGTATGAAGACATTAAAGACAAAGGTGGTTTATGAAGATATTCACATTAAAGACTATGACAAAAGAAGACATGTTATGAAGCCTATGGAACTCGAAGACTTAGATCTTTCGTAGTTCTTTTTCTTTTGTGTTGTGTCATAGGAACCACCGTACTGTTAAGTGGGGTCCAGGAGAACCAGTCAGAATGACTGAAGTGATGCCTAAATCAAAAACCTATGTCTTCGAACGAAGACAATAAGAGCGAATCTTGTCCAGAGCCGGACAAGTCAGCTTTGCTTGTAGCCCAAGCAAAGTTGCCATGAGAGTTTGAAATCTGACCGTTGAGACACGTGTCAGTTCCTTAGTGACCCAGGGTCATTTCGGACAAATCAGGTCGGGTTGCCAAGTGGCTATAAATAGCCCACCCCCACAACCATAAACGGTTGGCTGCTCAGATTTTAGTGCACGGCTTTTGTCGTTTGAGAGCAACCCACCTCGAAGCCTTTGAGAGAAAATTTCTAGTGAGGAGGAAAGCCCTAACCACCCAGAGCCAGAGCAAATTGGGCATCACCTAAGTCTTCTTGTCTGTGTGATCTGAAGACTTATTACACTTGAGGACTGTGAATCCTCCAGACGGTTAGGCGTCACGTTCAGAGCATCCAAGAGACATTGTGGATTGCCAGTGAACGAAGTTTGTGAAGGTTTGGGAGTCTACCTTGAAGACTTACCAGAGTGATTGGGCGAGGACTAAGTGACCTTAGCTCAAAGAGAATACGGTGAGGACTTGTTGTCCTGAACTGTGTGTTCAGGACTGGGTGTCCGGGACTGTATGTCCTAAGGTTTAAATACCTAGCCGCTCCAACCAGACGTACAGTTGTCACAGCAACTGGAACTGGTCCAACATATCATTGTCTTCAACGAGTCACTGGTTTCATCTTCACTTCCTTTTCATACTGTTACTCATTGTGAAGCCATTGCATGCTTGCTTTATCTTCTGTCTTCACAACGTGAATGTATGATCTGTTTGGCTTCATAACTTCTTCCTACCTGATCCTTATTACACTGAAGCTGGTTGTCATTGTGC